GGAGAAGGAAGGAGAAGGAGGAGGAGAAGAACAACAACAACAGAGGAACATAGTTAAAAAATAAAATGGGAATAAATAGGTACCTATCAATAATCATTTAAAATGTAAATGGCTTAAATGCTCCAATCAAAAGACATAGGGTAGCTGAATGGATAAGATAAAGATGATCCATATATGTCATATCTACAAGAGACTGAGCTCTGAACAAAAGATACACAGAAACTAAAAGTAAAGGGATGGAAAAAGATACACCATGCAAATGGCAAGGATAAAAAAGCTGGGATAGCAATACTTATATTTGAAGGAAAAGACTTTAAAACAAAGGCTATAGTAAGAGACAAAGAAGAACACTACATGATGATAAAGAGAGTAATCCAACAGAGGATATAACCCTCATAAACATTTATGTACCCAACATTGGAGCACCAAAATATGTAAAGCAAATCTTGATGAACATAAAGGGAGCTATTGACACTAATACAGTCATAGTAGGGGATTTTACACCCCATTGACATCACTAAATAGATCTTCCAGAGAAAAAAAATCAACAAGGAAACCGGCCTTAAATGACACACTAGATCAGATGGATTTAGTTGATACCTCAGAGCATTCCAGCCCAACGCAGCAGAATACACATTGTTTTCAAGTGTACACGGAACACTTTCTAGGACAGACCACATGTTAGGACACAAAACAAATCTCAATAAATTTAAAAAGATTGAAATCGTAGCAAGCATCTTCTCTGACCACAGTGGTATGAAACTAGATATCAATCACAAAAGAAACTTGAAAAATACACAAAGACATGGAGGCTAAATACCATGTTACTAAACAATGAATGGGTTAACAAAGATGAAGAAGAAATCAAAAGATACCTTGCAACAATAAAAATGAGAACACAACCCAAATCTAGAGGACAGAGCAAAAGCATACCTAAGTAGGAAATTTATAGCATTCCAGGCCTATCTTAAGAAACAAAAAATCTCAAATAAACATTTAACATTTACACTTAAAGGAACTTGAAAAAACAAACAAACAAAGCTCAAAGTCAGAGGAAGGAAGGAATTAATAATGATCAGAGCAGAAATAAATGAAATAGTGTCTGAAAAACAATACAAAAGTTCAATGAAAGAAAGAACTTGTTCTTTAAAAAGATAAGCAAGATTAACAAACATTTAACCAGACTCATCCAGAAAAAAAGGGGACTCAAATAAATAAAATCAGAAATGAAAGAGAAGTAACAACTGACACCAAAGAAATGCAAAAAAATTGTAAGAAATATTACAAAAAACGATATGCCAATAATTTGGACAATCTGGACAAAGTGGATAAATACCTAAAATCATACAATTTTCCAAAACGGAATCAGGAAGAATAAGAGAATCTGGAAAGACAGGTTATAGCTAGTGAAATTGAAGCAGTAACAATAAAAAAACAAGAAACTGCCAACAAAAAAAAGTCCTGGACTGTATGACTTCACAGGTAAATTTTATCAAACATTCAAAGAAGAATTAATACCCATCCTTCTCAAACTATTCCAAAAAATTCAAGAGGAGGAAAACTTCCAAGCTCTTTTTACAAGGCCAGCATTATCTTATTCCAAAACCAGATATGGACACTACAAAGAAAGAAAATTATAGACCAACATCCCTGGTGAATATAGATGTTAAAATGTTCAACAAAATATTAGCACAACAGATGCAGCAATACATTAAAAAGATCAGACACCATGATCAAGTGGAGTTTATCCTGGGGATGCCAGGTTGGTTCTATATCTGAAAATCAATAAGCGTGATACAGCACATAAACAAATGAAAGATAAAAGCCACATGATCATATCAATAGATTGTAGAAAAAGCATTCAATAAAATCCAGCACCCATTTATGACAAAAACTCTCAGCAAAGTGGAAATACAGGGATCATACTTCAACATAATAAAGGGCATATATAACAAACTCTCAGCAAACATGAGACTCAATGGGCAAAACTACAAGGGTTTCCCTTAAGATCAGGAACAAGACAGGGGTGTCCACTTTCAACACTTTTATTCACAAAGTGCTGGAAGTCCTAGCCACAGCAATCAGACAAGAAAAAGAAATAAAAGGCATCCAAATTGAAAAGGAAAAAGGAAAATTGTTACTCTTTACAGTTGATATGATACTGTACATAGAGAACACTAAAGATTCCAACAACAACAAAAAACCACTAGAACTGATAAATGAATTCAATAAAGTAGCAGAATACAAAATACCCTGAAATCAGATGAATTTTTACACACAAATAATGAACTATCAGAAAGGAAAACTAAGAAAACATTCCCATTTACAATTGCTACAAAAAATAAAATGCCTAAGAATAAATTTATCCAAGGAGGTAAAAGACCTATACTCAGAAAATTATAAGCACTGAAGAAAGAAATGGAAGAAAATATAAATAAGTGGAAGCATATACCATGTTCATGGATGAAAAGAATTAATATCATTAAAATGTCCACACTACACAAAGCAATCTATAGATTCAACACAATTCCTATCAAGGTATCAATGACATATTTCACAGAACTAGAAAAAATATTCCAAAAATGTATATGGAACCACAAAAGACCTTGAATAACAGCAGCAATCTTGAGAAAGAAAAACAAAGTTAGAGGAATCATGCTACCTGATATCAAACTATACTACAAGGTCATAGTAATCAAAAGAGCATGGTATGAGCATAAGTACAGACATATAGATCAATGGAACAGACTAGAGAAGCCAGCAATAAACCCACACCTTTGTAGTTAATTAATATTCAATGGAGTAAAGATAGTGTATTCAATAAATAATGTGGGAAGTATCAGACATATACATGCAAAAAATTAGAGTACCAACTTATACCATACACATGAATAAACTCAAAATGGATTAAAGACTTAAATGTTACACTCAAAACAATAAAAGTGTTAGAAAAAACCGAAGCAGTAAAATCTCTGACATTTTTCATAGCAATATTTTTTCTGATATATCTCCTTGTACAAGGGAAACAAAAATAATAATAAACAAATGGGATTACATAAAACTGAAAATGTTTTGCACAGCAAAGGAAACCATTAACACTGAATGGGAGAACATATTTGCCAATACATCTGATAAGGGATTAATATCCAAAACTTATAAAGAACTTATAAAACTCAACACCAAAAAAACAAACAGTCCAATTCAAAAATGGGCAAACTACCTGAATAGACAGTTCTCTAATGGGAACGTACACATGGCAAATAGACATGTAAAAAATGCTCAACATTACTAATCATCTGAGAAATGGAAATTAAAACCACAATGAGAAATCACCTCACACCTGTCAGAATGGCTATCATCAATGAAGCAACAAATGGGGATGTGGAGAAAAGAAAACCCTCATGAACTGTGGGTGGAATGCAGTTTGGTGCAGCCACTGTGGAAAGTAGTTATGTCAAAAAATTAAAAATGGAACTGTATTATGACCCAGCAATTTCACTTCTGGGAATTTATCCAAAGAAACCTGAAAAACAATTTGAAAGAATATATGCTCACCTATGTTCATTGCAACATTATTTACAATAGCCAAGATTTAGAAGCAGCCCAAGGTTCCATTAGTAAATGAGTGGATATAAAAGCTGTAGTATATTTATACAATGGAATACTACTTGGCTGTAAAACAGAAGGAAATCTTACACTTTGCAACATCAGGTATGGACTTGAGAGCATTATGCTAAGTGAAATAAGCCAGTCAGAGAAAGATAAGTACCATATGATTTCACACATTCATCCCAAATTATTTATATGTCAATAGTGAAAGGTCCCTGAGGGCAGGGGCCTGTATCTTTTGAACATTATATTCACAGCAGCAAGCACAATGCCAGGCAAATAGTAGATATAACAAACTGAATTACAGTTTAAAAGAACACAATTAGTAAATAAATTTAACTTAAAAGAACATCATTAAAGTTATAATTTAGCTGGATAAACCTCAACCTTGTGGTTCTTTGCTGATTGGTATGTAAATGTATTTTATAATTCATGTGGCCAAAAGTAAATATAAATTAAATACTCAAAGGAAGATTTCTGTTACTTACTTGAATTGTTGGAATACAGCTGTCAAATTAATCTCTTAGACTTAAAAAATAAAATCTAAAGATGAAAGATGGGGCTTGATGTAATATTTTTTAAAAAAGAACTTGTTTTTCTAATGTAGTAATTTTTTATAATGGAAACATGAAAATAAACATTTTTAAGTGTGTTACGTACCATTTCAATTTCTTGATCTTTAGCAACCAGCTGCTGATTAAGAAGTTCTTTGCTTGAGTCAAGTTTAATACAAAGTTCTCTTGTGGAAGACAAGTCTGCAAGGGCAGACACCTTTTCAAACTGAACCTTCTGAAGCTCCTCTTCCAACTTCACAAGAGATTTATGTAAGGTACAAATCTGGGACTTGTAAGACCTTTCTGCATTTAAGTGCTGCAAAAACAAAATTATTATTTTTTTAAATTGGAAAAAAACTATGAGATGGAGCACAAAATGGGGCAAATCTTTTAACGATAGTACATTTACATTATAAGGAACCTTAGATACTATAGGTAGTAATATATGTACAAAACACTCTGAAACATAAATTCAGGTTTCAAATTTCTATACACAAAGTCCTTGAGTAAGGTGGTCAACTGGTCATATTTGAAAACCAATGTTTCCCATTTAAACTTTTCTGAAAGCTGGTTGAGATATATACATGTTTGGTCAATAGTTCTTTCTATATTTGCCACAATTCCTATTATTCTATAATATAAATATTATTGCTGTCTTTAACAACAAGGTGACAAATAAAACATTAGCCACTATTTCACTCACAATACCCATTTTCCAATTCTGAAAAGGCATGTTGATATTGACCATAATATTGTAAAATGAGGACTGATAACTCTCTAGCACTTACTAATACCTGAGGGAAAAAGACTGGGCAAGTACAAATTAAGAATACATCCACATTTTGAGAAATAAAAGCATGTTTTAAAAATGGTATTATGAGCCCTGGCCAGTGTGGTTCAGTGGTTAGAGTGATGGCCCACACATCTGTGCACCAAAGAGTCATGGTTTCAATTCCCAGGCAAGACTAGGTACCTCTGTGTCAGGTTCGATTCAAGCCCCAGTCAGGGCATGTGCAGGAGACAACCAATTGATGTGTCTCTCTCACATCAATGTTTCTCTCTCTCTCTTTCCCTACCCTTCCTTCCATTCCACTCTCTAAGAATCAATGAAGAAAAAATTTCCTCAGGTGAGGATTAACAAAAAAATGGTAATATGAAATTCAAGTTATACGATTGCAAACATTCAAAATAATCCCCCTTTTATTCAGAAAAAAAAAAAATGTGTTGGGGTACTCAAGGCCATCCACAAACATCATCTGACATTGGCCTGCATGAGAGACCATCCAGAAAGACTGGGAGTCCTAGTAGATCTACCTAATACACAGAAACAAATGCAAACAGGCTGCCAAAATGGGGAGGGATAAAAAAGACCCACATGAAAGAACAAGAGAATTCTACAGAAGAGATAAATGAAATGGAGATAAGCAATCTATCAGACATAGAGTTCAGAATATTGATTGTAAGGATGCTCAACAGCATGGTAAAAGATATAGAAGCTATGAAAAATGACCAGTCAGAAATGAAGAATGACTTAGCAGAAATAAAGAATACATTGGAAGGGGTAAACAGCAGATTAGAGAAGTCTGAGGAGTGGATCAGAAAATTAAAAGACAGGGTAGAAAAAAATCACTCAATCAGAGAACCAAAAGGAAAAATAATTTAAAAACTGGAGGACAGTTTAAGGAAGCTGTGGGACAATATATGTAACAATATTTGCATCATAGGAGTACCAGAAGGAGAATAGAAGGAGCAAGGAATAGAGAACTTGTTTGAAGAAATAATGGCAGAAAATTTCCCTAACCTGGTCAAGGAAAAAGCCACACAAGTTCAGGAGGCACAGAGAATGCCAAGCAAGAAGAACCCAAAGAGGCCCACACCCAGACACATCATAAC